GGAGCCTAAGCAATCTGAAGCTGGGAGTATGGAAGTCCCACTATACCTGCTGGTAGTGCTTTGAAACGGAGATGAGCACCGCAACCCTAGAGTCGGATTCGACTGGCTTTCGAGCAAGGGAACCTTTACTTTTTACCTAGTGCTCTGAATGTGAGAGTGAGAATGTAAGAGTGAGAGCCCAGTGAGATAAAGTGAGAGGATCCAGTCCCAAAAATGAATTAGTCATTATGCTTTCATTGTTGAATGGTTTGTTAGTATTAACAAAACCTTTGTCACGCGACAACACCCATAGGTCCCTTTGAAATGGGTTCTCTTATGGAACAGACTCTAGTTAGTTTGAAGAATATCTCTATGCATATCATGAAAAATATGCAATGCTCCTAAGAATACTGAATCAACATTAAAAGATTATATTAAAATGTACCATCAAAAATATGTCAAACAAAAACAATCTCAATGTGTGCTGTCACTGAGTAGTGGCTTGAAATACACTGAGTGAATTTAAAAGTAAATCCATTTTACAAAGCACCTTTGGTAGTTTCCTTCCCACTTTGGTTTGGTGTAGTGCCAGTTTGGTGTAGTGGTTAAGTGCGTGGACTCTAATCTGGGAGAACCGGGTTTGATTCCCCACTCCTCCACTTGCACCTGGCTGGATGACCTTGGGCAAGCCGTAGCTCTAATAAGAGCTGTTCTTGAAAAAGAGCAGTTTCTGTCAAGAGCTCTCTTAGCCCCACCTACCTCACAGGGTGTCTGTTGTGGGGAGGGGAAGGGGAAGGAGACACCTTTGGGTAGTGAAGGGCAGGGTATGAATCCAATCTCTTCTCTTCTTCTTCTTCCACAGATTGGTGCTGCTGTTTTGTGGTTATATCTCACAGAAGCAGCTAAAATCAAAAGTACTAGACATTCTCTGCTATACGGTTATGAGATCAGTCTGCAAATTTTATACACTGCATACCAATCTTCAAAACAGCTACAAGTATGAAATGATAGGGCAGATTTAGCCCTCTCCTTTGAAGTGGCCAACAGTGATGAGCAAGCATCTCCTGACACAATTTAGAGAGGGTATGATTAATAATATTATGAACTTGATTGAAATCAAGTCCAAAATTATTTGTTGAGGGACACCCCCATTCTCAGAGGGTACTTTAGCCAATTTTCTGCTCTGTATTCCCACTGCATCCTCCTACTTTCTCCTTTATGTGGTAGCAGCAGCAAGGAAAGATTTTATTTATTCAGCATTTCTCCACAAGATGCCTGAAGCAGCTCAGTGGTTCCCTCAAGAGATCTCAGCAGGATCCTTGGTAAGCCCAGGGCACTGCTAGGACTATCACAAAAAAAATTCTGTCACATTTCCCATCCACTGACCCACAGTACAAGCACAAGTGCCTTCTGCTTGTACAAGGGGGTCCTTGGATTCAAGCCAATGATTTTAGCCAGAATTGTTCAGGAAGCCCATAGGCATTATCTTCTCAGTAATTATCATCTGTGAAAAACAAGTTCATCAAAGTATGTATCTGAATAACTCAGAAATATAGTGCTTTTCAATATATGCAAGGAGATACGCAATTTTATGGATCACTCAAGCTTCCTAGATTTATTTAAATCAGCATGAAAAGACTATTTACCAGTTTATAACATTTCACTTAGCTTATAAATGTTTCTGCACTACAGTAAATTAGTATTCAAATTATGTTCAATAAAACTGTAAACAATGTACAGCACCTCTGAAAGCATTATTTAAAATATATGCCCTACAATAAAGAAACTGGCTTTTTCACAGAAATTCCCTATTACATTGTAATTTTGTTTGTTTCTCTCTACAAGGCTCAGGATACAATTGCAATTCTTTATTGAAAAACAGTAAAAGAAAACGAGTTTCCCCTAGTAACAATAAAGAGTCTCAGACTGGACAGGGGCTTTTGCTGAAATTCAGAGAATACTTGAACCCAGAAGGAAGGGACCAGGCCCGGGCTGCATGGCGAGCAAGCCAGAGCCACCATATGGGGGCCACAGATGTCATGGCCTTTCTTTGAGCACAAACTTCTTGCCAGCTCCACCTCCTCCTCCACATCCTTACAGGGGGCCAGCTGGCTAGCAGGCTGCCCGACTCACACTGTGACCCGCCCCACAGGAGCCTTGGTCCCACTTCGAAGCCAAGGCTGCAAGCACCAGGCTTGGCCAGCACGCAGCCACCAACTCCGGCAGGAGGGGAGGAAAAGGGCAGTGGGAGAGAGGGAGGCAGAGATACGCAAACAGGAGGTGGAGAGATCAGCTGAGGGCGGGGAACAGAGCAGCAACAACTTGAGTGAGGTGAACAAACGAAGCTAGGCTGCAAGCGGGGAGCTCCACTTTGACTGCTACTGTTCACGGGCGCTTGCCAAAGGAGCCAGAGTGGGGATGACGTTCTGGGTCGTTTTGCCCAACCCTCCCCCTATGTGCCTACGTCAATTCCGGCACATCACTTCCAGCTACGGGGCTGGAAGGGACCTGTTAGTCACTGAACCAATGAATAAGTTATGGGTGCCTTCTTCTAGCTAGGAAGTAGGTCATCATGCAAGACATTTGCAGGGTAGAATGCACTTGGATCAGAATCATGAATACATCTACCTGTACAAGTTCCCATCTGTAACCCATGTAGAAGTATAATACACATACAATACCTAGCAACGTAAGAGTGCAGACACAAATAAATAAGATTTTTTTGCTGCACACAGTGTAATCCTGTGCCATAAAAGCCCATAGGCATAGGACTGAACTGTCAAAACTGCCCCTGGAAGCTTAGTAGGTTGAATTTCCAATACAGGATAAGGATTGGTTATAAGAAAAAAGAAAAGGGAAATCTGAGAAAAAATGAGCAGAAAGGAACAACCTCACAAACAAAAGATACATATTCTAAATAAGACCATCACTTTAGAAGGGGAATTATGAATTTCATATATAATATAGCATTCATTTCCGAATCACTGGCATTTTTCTAATTTGTCAGCTACCCTATTATTTCTAGCAAGTTTTTATGGATGCTACTCAAAGTATCAAACAATGTCTTGAGTAATAATTGACAGTAAAACAAAAATACAGCAAAAACCTTTTAAAAAACCGGCCTGTACTTCAGGATTCTTGCTTTTTGATGATTTGTACAGATAACCTGTTTTTGATCCCTAATTGACTTACACATGTACAGCAAATTAAGCTTTTCTAATTTTAACTGGATCGAGGTATGTAATGATTAAACATGTTTAAATTATTAGTGTTTCAGTAGGCAGTCACTGGTTTCATCTCCAAGGGTTTTTACCCAATAATTAGTAGAGCTCTATGACAAATATGTTTAATCTATTAAAATAGTTTCACACTTACCATGCCCAATGACAAACGGATTCCAACAAAGCCTCCCCAATAATTGACCGATTAATGGAAACTTTTGGACTGCATCCGTACAATTCTGAAATTAAAGACAACTCAAACAGTGTATGAAAACATTATCAATTAATATGAATGAGGGGACTTTGGAGAACAGTACATCTACTCTTCAAAGACAAACTCTTATTCTGTGCCAAAAGCTACATGAACATGGTAAGATTCCACATAAAACCCCTTTAAGTTGAATTTATCCTGCACCAGCATAAAACATTTTTATGCCTTACCTGTACACAGAACCAAAAGTGGGCAGAGAAAAAAGCATGGCCAGTTTAGTGGGCATCCTGTCCACCTTTTCTGGATATGTAGGCATACTGCTATGCACAGCAAGTATAGTGTTTTCATACTGTTCCAAACAAGCAATACTAACAGAGAAACACAATGACTCTCATTTCCATAAAAATCAAATAGCAAATGTACAAACTGAAAAACTGGTATTAACTTCCACGGACAATCTGACCTACAGACAATCTAGAGGTGTACAAACCAACAAAATGCATTTAATTCTGGTAAAAGGCATATATCAATGACAGAAGGCATATCTACATCAGTACTTCTACGCATAAGCAATCTGCAGAAGATAAAAATTCATGATGCCTACAAGAATCAAAGTACATGAGAAGGAAAACAGCAACAGAAAACAGCAACAGGACACAGACACACAAAAAAACCAAACCAAGTACAAAAAGGAACAAATGCACATACATGCATCCAACAAGGCAATGAGACACATGAAAAAGAGAAGGATTAGTATTCCAAGATTAACCCTTGGTATTCCTACTCATGTTTCTAGACTCACCCACTATAAACCTGACCTAGATCGCTGAAACAGAAAAGCAAAAACAACAAAAACATTCAGACAAGTTAGATATTGCCTACCAAGGAATGTGGAAAAGTGTCAGTGGTTGTGGCCTGAGCAGGAAGGGCAGGGTATAAACCGAACTAACTAACTAAATAAATAAATAAATTTGTGTTTGGTTTCCTGGGTGATCTAGTGGGAAATCTGGTAAGAAAATAAGCTTCTTCTGTGCTTGACCGCAGCTGGACTGGCAGCCAAATTACCAAATCTAGCCAGAAGTTCCTGGTGCTTGCAAACTGTCATGGCAAGCCCCAGAGCCTGAGCACGAGGTCCCTGGTTTGATATCCCTGTTCCTAAAATGAAAGGTAACTCAGACTACAAAGACCAGTCATCCCTCCTCCAGAAAACAGACACAAAATAAACATGAGTATCTGTAACATATGAACAAAGGCTTCTCTGTGAAATGGGAACAAATACTGGGCTACTAATTTTAAACCCTCTGGGTGTGAGTATGCATACAGACACACCTGGTAAGAATCACAAAAGAGAAAAACGGAAACTCACAGTCCCAAAACTATGCTAAGCTTCTATCAGACCTTACAGGAGTAATGGGAGGCTCAAGCAATTGTAATTGTGAACACCAAACTCTACACACACATGCCCTGCTGGCCAAAGAATCAGACAGAAAAGACAAGTCGCCAAAGCTTATGACTTGAAGTTACCAGATGTATAAAATAGTTCCTCTAGCACGCCAAACAAATTCTTATCTTGACTGAAAGGGTATCAACTTAAGACACAATTAGCCAAATATGATGGCCCAAAAGGGAGTTGGTATGATTTTTTGTGTGCCTGAGACTGCAAGAATGGAGGTGAGGGGAATGCAAACACTTGGGAGGCCACAGTACATAATGGGCTACTTTTGGCCTGATTTAGGTAGGACAAGCAGTAACATTAGTAGGTCCTCCGTAACTGTGGTGTTCCCTTTTGTAAGACCTTCTGTTGCCAGTACTATATCTATACAGGGCGGAATTTTAATATAATACATAAACAATTAAAAATTAGCATATGTTTTTAATCTTCTGTTGTTCACTCAATTTTAAAAATGGGAAGAGTTAAGTGAAATAAAATAAAAATAGCAAATTATTCAAGATGTCATAGCTCTTACAACATCTTAGGAATTTCTGAAGATATGAGAGGGAGCCACAGTTACAAAGAAGTACTGAAGCTTCTATTTACTACATGCCATCATACTTAGTCAGTTAAAATCTGAAATTTAACAGACACTAAAGCTACAAAAACTAAACATTTAACCAAATGGAAAGCAGCTTTGCAATAAAAGTAGTACATGGTGCAATTTATAAACACTGTTAAGCAAACAGTCTATTTTTCCATTTTTGAAACTTCAGTGCCTAAAAAATAAGGCTTTTGAAATGGTACTATTGTGATAATCCGCAAGTAGCAGAAAAGACAGCCATCTCACACCACTGCAATAAATTCTTCAAATTTCTTTCACATATGTTGTCTTAAAGGTACCACTGGACTCTAAATTTGTTCATATGAGGCTAGTGCTAGCCTTTGCGGGTCAAGTACATAAGATCCATTTGTGTCCACATTTCATAACTCATTCCACAAGCAACATTTTAAATGAAAAAAATGTCAGTTTCACAAGCATCTAAGCAATCAGATCTATAATCTTTTTCTGTAGTTCCTGATATCTGACATACAATACTATTTTAGAGCACTTTGCTCATGTTAATTTATTAAATACAAATACAGCAAAATGTTGAAGACTTGTAATTCATCTTCTAAAATGATTAAGAATTCAGAGACAATAATAAAATCGCAATAAGTAAATCGAAATATTTGCTTGTGATCTAGTGTCAGCGCCTGACATTTCTTTGTATGCCCAACAGGCTCTCTAAGAAATCAGTTATAATTTTGTGTGTATAAAAGTCTTTAAATAATTCAATTTATGACCTAAAAACCAGAATCAGATACTTGTTTATTTTAGAGTCTTTTTTAAAAGGTTACTGTGTTGGGTATGAAGTCTCATGTGAGAACATAACCAATCAAGAAGAAACAGCTCCTTCACAATAAATCAGGCACACAGGAAACACATTCCTGTTTGCATTACCTGTGGCTGTTTCCCCAATTTGCTTCTGTGATCCAGCAATACATTAGGTCAATACTACAAGGCTCTCTGCTACTGTTAGCTTTCTGTCTTGTCAAAATGTGGGGTGCACAATGTTTCCGTAACAGTCTTCGAAACAGTTCATTCTTCCAGTTAATTCACTTACCATATGTTTCAAAGCTCCATAAATCTGCAGTAGAAATTCCTGTAATTCAGGCAAGTGAAGGCAGACATCTTGCTGAGATTCTGGAGTGGTGATCTGACCCCACTCAAGGGCTTTGTGCAGCCAAAACTCAAAGCTTGATTTTGTGATTCCAGCATCTTCAGTCATCCTGTAACCTTAACAGGCGAAAAAGAATTCTCATTTGATGAATCTCTTCTTTGAGGGAAAGCTTTGATATCATTCCGTGCAAAAGAAGGTGCAGAATTTTAGGCAGTTTGCAAGATTCATAAAGTACTCTATAAAATAACAAAAGAAACAATCCTGTGCATTATGAATATTTATTTCTTTAATTTATACTTCACACTCTCTCCCAACAGGGGACTTGAGACCGCTTACATTTAAAATACAACAAATGTAAATATAATACAAATAAATACAATAATTATTTTAAAAGGAACCAATTAAAACATCAGTTTGACAAGCCAATCTGAAGGATTAAATCAACTGCCCAGCTCCCTGGTTCATAGTGTTAACCAAAGGCTGCCCCAAAACAAAGCAATCTTGCATGCCCTATGGAATGCTGAAAGGTTCCACAGAGCACAAATTTCCCCGGGCAACTGGTTCCAGAGAGAGGGGGCAGCCACTGAAAATGCCCTTGCCCTGGTGGATGACAGGTGGGTAGTTCACAGGCCAGGCACCTGTAGAAGCCTCTGCAATGATGATTTAAGGAGGCAAGGGGGTTCACACTGGGAAAAATGGGTCACCCAGGAGGTAGACCTGTGTGTTATCCGCATATTGGTGGCACCCAACTCCAAACCTCCAGACAATCTCTGCCAGAGGATGCATACAGATATTAAGCAACACTAGGGAGAGGATCAACCCCCATGGGAACCCATAAACTGGGTCCAGAGAGCCGATCTCTCTCCACCACCAGCTACCCACTGTGAGTGTCCCCGAAGGAACAAGGAGAAACACCTCACTGCAGAGCCCCTCACACCCAGGGAAGCTAGGCAGTTGGACCAGGACCAGTTGGTCACCTATGCTAAAAGCAGCAGACAGATCCAAGAGGATCACCAGTGCTGGCCCACCTTTATCAAGGTATAATCGGAAGCTGTCAACAAAGGCTACCAGGGCTGTCTCAGTCCCAAACCCCTGCCTGAAACCAGATTGGAAGGGATCCAAGGCCGATGTTTCATCCAGGAATGTTTGAAGCTACTTGGCCACTGCTCGCTCAATCACCTTTCCCAGGATACAGAAACTTGCATAGGTATGTGCAGTATCTAACACGTGGGAAAGAAATACACACTTAGAATTCTTCTTTATAAATTAAAGACTCTCTTGGGCCACAATATTTCACCCAGAAACCACATGTTTGAAACAAGAGTAGTACTACTAATTCCCAGCATTCACAAATTTGAAGTCTTAATAAATCACAATATTCCTTGTAAAATACTTCTTGGAACACTCTTTATGTCTATAGCAGCATCACAATTCAATCATAAATTAAACATGCTTCATACAAAGAGAATGTATATTATCCTTTCTTACTTCATTGACATGGGGAACCTGTCAATCTCTGCCTCTGTCTATAAATACAGTCTAAGAAGTTAACACACTCAGATTCTCACTCTGTGCTACCACAGGATGAATTCAGCTGATGATTAGGTGTGAGGTGACATGCTGAAGATACTATGAATTGCTGCTTTGGGCATTCTGATCTATCTTGCAAATACTCCAACACAAAGATCACATATTACTATGTTCCCAGCAAACTTTCAGATGGTGACCATTTATGAACCTTGAGAAAACACAAAAACTTTGCTACCACATTTGGTCTACTGTGTTACCATTCATGACCCCCCTCCAAAGTAATAGAATACCTAGAACACCATCACCTCCAGTGTGCCCCCTCTTTCTCTCATAACAATTGCTTTAAATTCTTTGCATTGCATTGACTGTTTTTAATTGACTTATGAATGTATCTATTGGAATTGTTAAATTGCTTTTAATTGACTATGAATGTATTTATTGTTGTTCACCACCCTGATCCCTGTGCAGAGGGGAGGGTGGTCTAAAAGTATAATTCACAAATAAATAAATAACAGAAAATTCAACCAGAACTGTGATGTTCAGACACACACAAAAGGAAACAGATGCGCATGCTAGCTCCTATGATAAGCTAGCAGTATGAGGCTACTGGGCTGGCAAGGTCAAGTATAAATACTATGAAGAAGAAAAGAAGGGATTGGATTTATACCCCGTCCTTCACTCAGAGTCTCAAAGCGGCTTACAAACTCGTTTCCCTTCCCCTCCCCACAAGAGACACCCTGTGAGGTAGGTGGGGCTGAGATAGCTCTTTCAAGAACAGCTCTGACAGAACTATGGTTTCCCAAGGTCATCCGGCAGCTGCAAGTGAATCAAACCCAGTTTTCTCAGATTAGAGTCCATGCACTTAACCACTACACCAAACTGGCTTACTTCAGTTCTTACTTCATTTCACTCAGTTGGGTTCTTTAGAAAAATACTTTGCTTTCTCTAGGGAAGTGGCGGATTTTCTTTCTTTCTTTATGGAATGAGTGAAATAATTGTTTTTTTCTTGGCCTCTTGAGAAGTGTGTAGGTATATTAGAGAGGTATAATAAAATGTAAAAGAGGGATTTCTTCATCGGTTTTTATATTTATTTACTACTAAGATGTCATATACAGTAAAGTACCTATAAGTTTCTTGCCAATAATTCAGAAGCCATTCAAGAATGGTCTTATTTGGGACAGCATCCTCAAACTACTGCTTTTGATTTTTAAATTTATCTATATAAGGCTATGTATGAGAGATCCAGTTCTTAGATGCCAACAAGACTGCACTGCCAGTAAAGAATTTTAGATCTCTTCTTACAAATAAACACATTTTTAGTAATAACTTATAGAAGATTCAGTTGAAATACTAATCATGCTAAAATTTTGTGATAAAACCTCTCCATGAAAACGGAATCATGTAAAATTAATATGTGAGTCAGACCTAGGGGTGGGGATAAAGGGTAGGGGTGAAAATGTAATAGGTTCTCTACTTCATAGACTATGAAATCTAGCCCAAGGCTGTGAAGTGGCTGTATCTGGAAGCATATCCAAAAAGACTGTGCGAAGTGCAGCAGATAGAAAGTACTGCTGTACTGGCCATACAAGAGTGTGGCAGGCAATTTGAAATGGAGAAATGTTAGGTGATGAAATTTCCAATTCTGCTTCACCATTCTGTCTTTCTTACTTCCAAAGCTCTTTTAATTTTTAAAATAATGGCATTGTGGTTTTGTTACACACATTTATACATAACTTATGGTTAGCTCCGTTAGCTATTTTTGAATGCTTAATGTGTGATTTTAAAAAAATCCAGGCAAATTGCCACAAGATATAAAAGTTCTAAAGAACATTAGAGACTAAAGAACATCATTGAAACAACCACTCATGCTCAAAAAGCCTGTTTTCAAACTTCGATATCATCTCACACATGTATATATACATGATGTGTATACATCTGAACTGTTCTCACATCACTGCAAAATATCCTAATGGTGAGTTGCATACCACCTGAGTCCCTTTCGAAGAAGAACAGGATAAAAATGTACTAGATAGTTGAGGAGCAATGTACAAAGTCACTGTTTTCCATAATGTTTAGACAATACTAGTTGGCAGTGTTACCCTACCCGCCTGCTTCTGCATCTACGTAATTAATGCCAAACATAAATATACGGTATCCAGGGGTCATTTCCTACAGGAGCGCACAGGAGCGGAGCTACGGCAGTAAAGAGCCCAGGGGGCAGGCACATGCAACAAGCCCCACCCCCTGCTCCCAGCAGCCCTCAGTCAGAGCAAGAAGCAGCCAGGTAAGTTGCAGAGCTCCCCCCCACAGCCCCCCAGTCCAAAACAGTCCAGTTGCACCTTTAAGACCAAGTTTTATTCAGGTACAAGCTCTCCCTCCTCTGCGAGGACAGATCTGCACGTTCCCCCCCCCCCAATAGCTAGCAATCCAAAACAGTCCAGTGGAGCCTGAGCGGTGGGTGTTGCCTTCTGACACACTTCCGGTGATGTCAGGGGGTGTGGCATATGCAAATAAGTTATGCTAATGAGCTCCTGCACCTCTTTTTCTACGAAATGACCCTTGAATATACCAAGTAGTACAAAGCCTTTATAGGACCTCTGGCACTCTTTCTTCCAAAGAATGTGAACCAGTCCTGAAGTTCTCACCACTAAAGAACAGAGAGTGCAGAACAACAGAACGATGCTTATGCAGCTGCAGCAGCTGAAAAGGCACCATAGGATCAGGTCTGCCAGACCCATAAGATCATAACAGCATTTGTTAGCATAAATTATAGTTGGGAAAGATCTTTTAACCAATGACACTGCCACTGAAAAGCTATTCTCTTTAGTTTATTTTCAGTTACAATTCAGTTTTTCCAGTTAATACCTACACTGCTGCAAGTGTGGATGCCTTTTTTCCCCCTTTCTGCAACTGTTGACTCTTCTTCCTATTACATTTCATGCTACTACAAAATTACCACTGGCTGAGGCATGCTTAGTTTATAATTTTGTTCAAATTACTCTGACTGCTTCCCGGGAGAGAACAAAATAAAGCCTTGCTCCTCCTGTCTCAGAACCTCTCAAACAGTTTAGGCATGGGGTATTTGTTACAACCTACAGACTCTGTAAGCAGTATTTCTAACATGGACTGGATTAACTTTATTCTGGCAAGTGAACTATCTGGATTAGTGTTTTAGAGAAACAATACAGTCAGTAACTTTTGTTAACAGTTTTAAGGCAGTGTCCTACAGCACACACCCATGGATTGTTAGAAACCCACTAGATATCATTTCATATATTAATTTAGCTACATTATGAAAACTCAAGTGAATGAGTGAATACTCATGGGAACATACCGTATTAATCTGGTAAACAAAGCATCCAAAGTCTACAGAAATTGTTCATAGTGATTTCATAAGGGGGGGGGGAGAATCACACTGTAAAACATAAGTAATACATTCTTCAGATACCATTTTCCTTTCATAGCTCTTTATTTAAACACTTTAATATGTACATAAAATCACATAAACAGATCTGGGGGGAAATCTAATAATAAAATGAAAGTAGGAAACAGAACAGTCTAATTAGATCAGTTTAGAG